GGGCGTATTTCCTACAAATGTTTGCCGTATGTCGAATAAGGTCTAAGATATGTAGCGTAAGGCTTGATTGAATATTTTGATTGGATGTGATATTGTTGTCAATAATTTTGATTGGTCACAATTATCACTTAAAATATTTGTATGTACTTCAAAAATGTTTCTATCAATAATATTTACTGAGGATTTCATTAAATATAAACGTATAGTTTCAACGAAACGTGTATTATAAGATATAAATAAAACTTGAGCTTACCGTTGAAATTAATTAGTTTTTTTGGTATCTGTCTTGTCGTCCTTTGCTTGGCCTCGTCCCAATAATTTAGCTAATGAATCCCAAATTCCTCCAAGAAATAGAGCACAGAATAAATTCTCGAAGGGAACAAAGGGATCATGAATACCCAATAAAATAGATGACAGCTGAAAATATATCAGATTTCATTAAAACATTTAGATTCGTATTTATAGCTCTGTCTTACAGTGTTTCGTAATATAAAGATATCGTTAACCAATTAGCATCCAGATTTAGGATATAATTGTGCTTGCTGATTGGTTAATAGGAGGGTCAGGGATGATATAAAAGAGAGATATGAGTTCGACCCTTAGTATTACTTGGGTGGCCTCACTAAAAGTAATCATATTTGATAATCTGACAACTGTAGCTACTGATTATTAAGCTATTCGATACACGTATATGTTAAGTGATTTGTGTACGTCAAACTTATTACCGGTGCATTAGAAATACATAAGGGTTATGATAAAATGTCCTATGTAATTATAGAACTACAATTTTTACATTATTGGGACATCACGAGTATACAGGTTAATTTTTTAACTTTAAACACCGGATTATCTCAGAAAATAAATTTCATAGAAAAAATAATTTCAGATAAATTTTTTTCGTGTTGGAGGACATAAAATGGCATTTTAGATGACTCCCTCATCGGTGAAAATGGGGTGAAATTCATTTTTTCAAACAAAAATTCCCATTTTTCATTACAGACTGTTATTCTACATGTAAACTGAGTAACTTTTTCAAATCTTTATTTTTTCAGAGTTATGAGGGTTTGAAATTCCAAGTAGGTTGGAATGGTTGATTAAAGTGAGTCCCCTCACAATTTGAGTTGCTTAATTAATTCAATCAATCAAAAGCTCTAAGTGATTATTTAGCTCAAGTCTTCAATCAAGCTCCCCAAATAGTGACACGAATAATTTTTGTCTGAAACAATTTTTTCCACAAAGCTTATTTTCTGAGATATTTCAGTGTCTCAAGTTGAAATAATCATCCTATAAAATAAGTCACAATTACTAGACTGAATACAACATTTTTACAAAATTCACATATGTATTTGTAATGTGAAAGTACTAATTATAAGATATGTGTTAACTATTGTGTAGTACAGCAATGAACATGCGAGAACTTACCTTAAAGTACACAAAGAAAATAACAATTCCGAAGTATACGAGAGCGTGAGGTGCAGAAATGAGGTCAGTCTTTTTGTCAAGAACGAAGATAATTGAAGCAACCATTGACGCTTTCGTAGGACTGTAAAGAAAAGCATGTTTCAAATGTATGAAATCATTTTTTTGTTAAGTTTTATACAAAAAAGAATTACGTACAAACTTGGTTGCATAAGTTCCATAGCGGTGGGTGTCCAGACCCCACGTATAAGACGTTCAAAAAGTTTGGTGAAACCAGCACCATTGCCTTAAAATTATATATTAAATTAATCAATATCATAAAGAAAATTTGGATTAATCTATTAACATTAACCGCTTTCCACCCGGTTTTTTTTTAGAATGATAAACCAATACGTCGGAGTTGAAATCTTCCATTGTGTCTTATTATATAACTAATTCATTTGCAGTATTTTTAACTTTCAAATGTTCTATCCATGTATCTCTTCTATTCCAGTACCGACATCGTTATCTATAATATGAATTATTGTAAAAGACATGTTATGACGTCGCCGAGTGGAAAGCGATTAAAAACGAGATATTACCTTTAAGAGTTCCAATAAGAATCATAATGAGATACGCATTGGGATAAAGCTTTCCAGCATGTGTTACTCCATCGTAAACCTTTTTACATCTGAATATAGATATTGTATAATTAATATAGTACCAAATTAACAGTAATATGTCTACTTTAGCAAAATATGCTTGTATAACTTTGATCTTTGAATATCAAAAGTGTCACGATTTTTATACGGAAGTTAAGTTCCACTCTATTATGAATCATATCAATAAAGTATTTGATATACCGTTGCGCGTTTCTTTTCACTATAGGACTTAAAATCTGGATTGGACGCTAGACACTTGACGTTGCAGTTAATAGAACGCGTACTGGCATATGCAGTGATGTGGACATTTACAATATGTATAAACATTGTCTAATTAAAGATAACTTGTGAAGAATGAGCACCACTAACACCGGCCCTCATATGTTGGGACCAAGGTGCGTAAATGAAACGTGGAACATCCGCGTTAGGGAAGATCTTCCCACTCATCTCATAGCATTTGGACCCAAAATGGCGACCGTGCATTTCTTGTATACTAATACTCCAACACAGTAATAACTGATGTACCACATATATCTTGCGCGTATATTTACAGGATCCAAAATAGCACACATGGGAAGAGCTTCTCTTGCCGCGTTTCATTTACTGACTTCGGTTGGGATTATTCGTGACGTCGTGGGTTACTACTAGCGCTCGCCGTGGAAAAGGGCTCAAGTCCATAAAATAAAGTGCAAAAAAATTAGTACTATTATATGATTCCACGGCAACGAAAAAATGATAGAAAAAGTGGTAATCATCTTGTTATAATTATTATACAGTGTGAAGCATTTAAATCGAGACTGTCAAATAACTTAAGAACAAGGTTTTATATGAAAAAATGTTTGAGACAAAAGTTGTATGGGTTAAGGGGGGGAGTAAAATGGCCTTCTTTAATAAAAACCCTATATCAATAAAATTAAAGTAGGCCATTCTATTGCCCTCTTAGCCCTTTGCAGACGGGATAGTCTGATGTGCGAGTGTCCGCCTGGACGGGGAGTCTTGGGAGCATTTCGTAGGAAAGTAGTGTACACATGAAGATTCGTTTGTAACACTTATAAATTTTGTACTACATAAACACACGTTTTCTAAATGATTTACAAGATATCTATTAGTGATTTGATTTTTTATTGATAATTTCAATTTCCGGTTTTAAAATTTTGTACAAGACTGCTGTTCTCACGCAGGAATCCAGCATTTGAGATCAAGATAAGATAAGGCGTCCGCAAAGGGCTAAACCCATACAACTTTTGTCTCAAACATTTTTTCATATAAGACCTTGTTCTTAAGTTATCTGACGGTCTCCATTTAAATGCATTACCCTGAATATAGTAATTAGAAGATTAATAACTTTGAGCACAATATCTTTTAATTCCCATGATAAAATGAAAATATTTATTTCATAAAACTGCATAACACTTTGTCCAATTCCTTGTAGAAATTATGACCGGGTGGAGGCAAGACGCCAGTCAGTAGATACACGCTGCCGTCTCTTTTTTTATGGTTCTAGCTTTGAAAATATTTTTCGACACTAAATTTCCATACTTATTTATGTTTATTGTACCTCACCCCTCACAAAAACATTTTCGTACAAAAAACTTCACCAAGTACAGGATTGCTGTGAAGTTTCCAGTTTTTGAAGAAATACCTATATTTAAGTCATGCATTATTGTTCTACTAACAAAGAATATTGAATATACAGTAATGGGCAATTGAAGTGGAACACTTGAAGTTTTGTGTATTTCTGCGAAACTATGACCGATTTCAAAAAACCAAAGACACATTTTTTAGGAAATTTTTTTCCCGTTCGAATGATAACGGTTTTATCCGGATTGGATACAAAATAGGTGAACGGCAATTTTTTATTTGAAAATTCTACCTTACTACGCGCTCCACAAGCGTTTGTCACCCGAGTATCTCGAGCAAAACTCGCAAAATTTAGGCGTTTTTTCAAATGAAAAATTTAACCCCTTAGCAAACTTATTTTTAGTTGTTTAACAGCGCGTTTTAATCGTTGAAATCTCAGCTACAACGTGGAAAAAATATGAAACTTCTATTTCATCGCGTTCCTAATGAAAAATGGCGGGGAAGCTTCGGGTGCGCTTGCGATATCTCGAGATCCCCATCACGGGATCATCTTTGAGAACAATAATTTTGTGAAAATCTGTAGTATCATTAAAGATGATATCACACAAAAAATTGGACTAGATTGGCCGACGCGTTCGGAAGTTATGGCCAATTAAGTGTTTTCACTTCAAGGGGGTGTAACTACCCCTAGAGTGATGCTACAGGGGGTCAATGGGGATGTTTTTTAATGCCGAAGGATGATCTCTCTCGTGCTATAATTAAAAATATAAATTTCCTTCTAGAACTACTAGTTCTCGCACTTTTCAAAAACCACCAAAATGCACTATTTCACTTCAACCCCTGCCGTTCAGCCATTTTGTATCCGATCGGGATAAAACCTTTACCATTCGAACGGGAAGGAAATTTCCTAAAAAATATGTCTTTGGTTTTTTTAACCCTCTTGTCAATAACAAAATTTCCCATTTTCGTTCAATAACCGGGGTACCCGGGTACCCACAATGCAAACCTGATGCTTCTGGGTAGCCTATGACCATTTACCTGCTTCCTTCTACCTTGTACTTGGTAGGTTTGACAAATTTTGACCCGAAAGAACAGGGAAAACCCCACAGGTATTCTGGAATTTCCCCGGGGTTTTTACCTGAAGGTATCCTAACGTACAAATTTCGTGGCGTGACTTCAGTTTCGAAACAGATTTTGACCAGTTCGGACGTACGAAATTTTGCGATCGATTTGTATTCTTGATGCCTTTCATCGAAGATCGATCGAGAAATTCATAAATAATGAAACATCTTATGACCAAGATTGCTATTGAAAGTATGTTTGGTAAAGCAATTGGCAGTGAAGGTAATGCACCATCAACATCATCCGGACAAGTATTAGATAATACAAGGCGAAAAATTGTAGTGGGCGCATGCCATATATGTTATAAGGGCACATTCAAAAAACGTCGCAAAACACGAAATTCTTGCGAAACGCGCAAAAAGCCGGTATGCAATGAACATACAGTAACAATTACGCGCTGTAATGAATGTGCCGAATAAAATACATTTTTAACATTATTACTGAGTTTGTATTTGTTTATTTATTTATTTTTTGTTTATTTTTATAAATCCTATTTATTATTATAGTCGTGAAATAATTCGATGACTCAAAGAGTAAGAGCAAAAAGGAAATTCGTTATAGAAGTCTATTGGATGCTCGTGGGTACCCGGGTACCCCGGTTATTGAATGAGCGTGTAGTCAACTTCACTCCCGATAACATAAACATTTTTTTGAAAAAATGTATGAACAAAAGCGGAAATCACTGCAGAATAACTCAAATAACGAGGATCTGTCCAGGATAAAACGCATGTTGCCAGGAAATTAAAAAATATTCAACAAGAAAGTGTAGAAGGGTACCCGGTTATTGACAAGAGGGTTAAATCGGTTATAGTTTCGCAGAAATACACAAAAAATTCAAGTGTTCCACTTCAATTGCCGATTACTGTTTAAGAGTAATACATAAGTCACTATATATTTGCATATTATATGATCTAGCATTAGCTTATAATTTTAACAATTAATAAAACGTTAAGAGATTCATTATCGAGTACTAGTTAACGAGTCCGAAGTCAGTACTGTAAAATTTTGGGCACGGACCTCGATAAGAAATCTTCCAGCATTTTATTAATTACTAAATGACCATTAAAGCATAATTAAATATAAGAATCAGTAATAACAGAAAAGAGTTGCGGAGACGTTATACGTAGGCACTTGGGATTATAACATTATTTCAATATTTTTTGTTAGTAGAACAAGAATGCATGATTTAAATATATTTCTTTTTAAGTTAGGGAATTCACAGCTACCTTATCTTTGACGAGGTTTTTTACACGAAAGTGGTTTCGTGGGGGATATTCAATAACTAAAGTACATGCGAGAAAAATATATTTCATGTAACACATTTTCGCCGTTGATCGCATCAAATGGATGAAGCCTCTTTAATTTCCTAATTATACATTCTGAAATTGCTATACACGCTATTGTTAGATTTATGTATGTACAATATTTACAAGATGGTTAGCTTCGTCGAATAAAGTCTTGTATGTCCATAGACTTATTCACTGCACCTCAACTGGTCGTATGGGATCTCTATCAGTTTGCCCTACTACAAGGTTTCCGAACTGTCATATTATGGGAAGAATAAAATCCTGAATGCCCAAAAATTCACATCATCTTGCCGAAACTTAAATTTCCAAATGACATTTTGTCAAACGTTCGAGGGAATTAACATTCGACAAAATGATCGTTCCGATATTTACATATGGGTCATTCTACGTCAGATTTAAAACCAAATTTTTAATTTTCCTAAAAATTGTTTCCCTTGTTCTTGAGGGGAAAAAAATGACACGTATTTTTTTATTTCAATATGATATGAAGAATTTTCGAAATATCGATTTTTTAATTTATCGACTCTAAAAAACCGGTTCTTCTTCAAATGTATCGTGCATCGTTCACTTTTCGACTAAAAGCAAAGCACTGCAGGGCAAAATGTGCGATAGGGTTCACTTTAAAGTCCACGTTTTAATGGTCGAAAATTCGGTCGTTTAATAATTGTTATGCAACAATTTCTTAAACAATTTATATTATTTCAAACGGAGCATCTGCAAATTGAATAATTTTTTCTGTAATTTGTTATTATAGTACAGAGAATATTGTCTGAAAATTTGAAAGTGGACCGTTGAATATTTTTTGAAATAAAATTCATAATATGTGACCGCGCTCACGATTCGCGTGCGGGCGACTCGGGCGAAGCACGGATTATAGCGTGTTTGGACATTTTCGAGTTATCCCACTATCCTTTGATGGGGTTTTCACCTAGTTCATATGAATGATACTCAGGGAAATGTTAAAAGATTCCAGAGTAACACTGTCAAATCGAGAAATGGTCATTTACTTTAACACTTCGTCTGTAAATGTGGGTTGTTCGTGTCCGAGAAAAAACAATTTCGGTTTGTACTTGAGAAATAGGGGAAGGGTGGACGGTCCCTCTTGTCCCTAAAAAAAGTTATATAGAAGGGGGAACTGACGCTTAAGTTTTAAAGTTCTAGTACCTTCCAGGCAGTGTGCACACGTTCCACGAGTGCACTGATTTCGTAGTGGACACGAACGACCCACGTTTATAGACGGCGTGTAGTAAACAGGTAAGTGAGTGAAATTTATGTTTTATTTTATTGTGTTTTTGGCATCAGTGATACATTTATTTTGTTTTAGTATGTCTAAAAAATTTGTTGGAATTTTTTTTTTTAGTATTTTTGAAAATGAAACAGCGATCGGCTAAAGAAGTCACGGGCGTACTGCGTCAACGCGAAGAAATTAAATATTTTGGAGATGATGACAGCGAAGATGAGGTAGACGCAATTGAAGAAGCTGATAGTGATGTCACCGAAATAAAAAAAAATACGTTTTTTGCTAATAAAATGTGTGAATAGCAATGCATCGTACATAATTTATTGCATATTTTCATGTTCAAAACTTAAGCATTTAGCTTTAAACAAACGAAACGAAATCATTTTTTCTTAAAGCTACACTTTTCATCTTTAATTTGCATTTTAAAAAATTACGCTATCTTCATTTTTCACTGAGTTACAACTTTATTGTAAATTAAATTTTTTCCCCCAATTTCTCCATTTGTTTAACAAAAAATTTATGAAAAAATTAAATTTTCGAGAATTTTACAATTGGTATTTCAAAATGAATATTTCGAAAAGTAGCATGAATTTTTTCAGAATTCTTTGAGTACATTAAGGGGGTGAAATAATGGCCGGACGCGAAAGACCCACGTTTACAGACGGGAGGTGCGGAAAAAATGTTTACAGACGAAGTGTTAATTACAATACTGATTTACATGCAATAATACAGAAAATTATATTATTGAATTATTTTACACTTTTTAAAATCTTTTTTCGGAAACTTCTTTTTTTTTTTGTGCGAACCTAAGAAACTGACAGTTGTGAATGTGGTACAACGAGAATAAGTTTCGATTTTCAATTCGCGATCCCCAACTGGTTCAACACAGTGTATTTTTTGTGTACATGGTATTGTTTTACAATCATCAAAACGTTTTCATCGTAAGATTTCTCGGTTTCGTAGACAACAGAGATATTAGATAATGAAGAATCGAGTTGGGCCCATTCGTAGAACTCGAATGGGGTCGTTATTTAGTCATTCGAAGATCTTTGAAGACTAGCTTTCCTTGCTTATCTTTTTAAAGCTCCACCCGTCCCATCACAAGGACCCTTGTCGTGAGCTGTGGCTTGGAAATGCCATATTGCAGAGCAATCAAAGTCTTTTTTATGGTAATGTATTGTTAAAAAGTGTTTCGAATTTTTGAATTGTTGAGGGCCTCCATCAGAAAAATAAATACAATTTTTTATTATTGAATGAAAGTTTGAGAGATAATCATTAAATGATTTAAGAAAAACAAACACTGACACCGAGTCATGTTTCTTACTATCAAATGTTATCACTAATGTTTTGTAAGTGCACTTTTCAACAATATATTACCATAAATAAGACTTTGATCGCTCTGCAATATGTAATTAAATGTAATCAGTATTGTAATTACAGTAAATGACCATTTCTCGATTTGACAGTGTTACTCTGGAATCTTTTAACATTTCCCTGAGTATCATTCATATGAACTAGGTGAAAAATCCATCAAAGAATAGTGGGATAACTCGAAAATGTCCAAGCACGCTCGAATCCGTACTTCGCCCGCGTCGCATCGCTCTGCAATATGACCGAGTCATGTTTCTTACTATCAAATGTTATCACTAATGTTTTGTAAGTGCACTTTTCAACAATATATTACCATAAATAAGACTTTGATCGCTCTGCAATATGTAATTAAATGTAATCAGTATTGTAATTACAGTAAATGACCATTTCTCGATTTGACAGTGTTACTCTGGAATCTTTTAACATTTCCCTGAGTATCATTCATATGAACTAGGTGAAAAATCCATCAAAGAATAGTGGGATAACTCGAAAATGTCCAAGCACGCTCGAATCCGTACTTCGCCCGCGTCGCCCGCGCGCGAATCGTGAGCGCGGTCACATATTATGAATTTTATTTAAAAAAATATTCAACGGTCTACTTTCAAATTTTCAGACAATATTCTGTGCACTATAATAACAAATTACAGAAAAAATTATTCAATTTGCAGATGCCCTTTTTGAAATAATATAAATTGTTTAATAAATTGTTGCATAACAATTAATAACAACCGAATTTTCGACCATTAAAATGTGAACTCTAAAGTGAACCCTATTGCACATTTTGCCCTGCAGTGCTTTGCTTTTAGTCGAAAAGTGGACGATGCACGATACATTTGAAGAAGAACCGGGTTTTTGGAGTCGATAAATTAAAAAATCAATATTTCGAAAATTCTTCATATCATATTGAAATAAAAGAATACGTGTCATTTTTTTGCCTTCAAGAACTAGGGAGACAATTTTCAGAAAAATTAAAAATTTGGTTTTAAATCTGATGTGGAATGACCCATATGCATTCTGCAAGAAAAGTCACAATCATCAAAAAATAAAGGAAGATATGTTAACATTTTAGTAGCGCGTACATTCAATAATTTTTTAATAATAGTGGAGGAAAGGAAAGAGGAGGGACTTAAAAAATACTGTTTTGACGAAAAATAAATATGACTCGCCGAATAAAATATCCAGTAAGTTGTAGTGATTCTTTTTATAAGTAGAAAAATATATCATATCATATGACGTGCATGTTTTTTCTGTTCATAGCACAGTAGTGGTTTTTGAGACAAGTTTAACGAGTCCTAAATTCTACTGCCGATTATTTTCAAGCGTATGATCGGAACACGAGTTCAATGTGTTTTTTGGCAGATTGGAAACATGCAGTCCCTAGCAAGGTACACGTGCCACTGCATAAAATGTTCGTTACAAAATATACATACATGGTTTTGTAGTATATTTGTTCTATTTTTGTGTATATTAACATTATTTGACGAAAAACCACACGTGATTTGCTAAGGATTGCATTGCTAGCGAACTGTAAAAAAACATATTGAACTCATGAACTAATTATAGTTCATTCTTCTTTATGACGTCTTTTAACGTTCCGCATGGGAGAAAATCTAAAATCTTTACCTCATTAAAAAAAAATGAAAAGTATTGGAATTTCCTAAGCATCTCTACACCTACGAGAAAATTGGTTGCACCATCCGATGGTACCTTTTATACTACGGAATTTTTGCTATATATAGTGAGGGTTGCATGGAAAGCCGCTGTTTTTTCTATTTTTGGGGCATTTATTTCAATAGTAAAAGATGTGAATATATTAATCAAAGTATTTGCCTTGAAAGCTACGACTTTTTCCCACTTTTCTGGCAGAAAGAAAGAACTGTCTGATGACTGAATATTAGTGGAAAATGTTCACGCTTCAAAATGACATAATCTACATCTGTAACTGTCCACAGCATACGCAGCTAGAGATTACATCTATACGTAAACAGCGGCTTTATATGCAACCTTCTATGACGAGAGTTGAATATACCTATTAGTTTCAGATATTTCAAGGGTGAAATTATAAGATAGACTACGTTTATACGACAGTCTCAAACCGGTTTAATTAATACTGATCTAAAGGAATTGACGAATGCCAAATATTCCTTACAAGTAGAAATACTTATTATTTGTCTATTCCTTTAGATCAGTATCAGAGATCAGTATCAGTAGATTTAGATCAGTAAACGTACTCATATTTGCTATATTTAAAAAGTATTGATGATGTCACAAATTAAAAAAAAACGATTGAAATTCGTTAAAAAATTTAATGAACTGCAAAAAAACTCATATTTCGAAATAACTGAAACAAACTCTTGTTCATATGTTTCGAATATGATGTTCAAAAGATATGTGTTCAAATATGAGTGTCGAAGTCGCGGAGTCCCGGCGCACGTAATCGTGCTAGGCATGTGGATACGCCAAGGATTAAAGTCATTATCCCCCCCCCCGGTATATGTGATCAATAATTATACTATACACCATAAAACTACAGCAATAGGAGAAACTATAAATACTATATTGATATGTTCACTGGAGTGTTTAGATTATACAACAAAACGGCTAAGCTATGAAGCATGGTTGATCAATTTGGCATTGTATAAGTACCAATTGCCATGTTAACTATCTCATATACATTGTAAATGAAATATGTATGTACATTAAAATAGTGTATGCGAATCTATCTTCATATTTTGTTTAACATTTGATATTTTGAGGTTGCTTCTATCAACAGACATAAAAAAATAAAAAATTTATTATTTAGTTAATCAATAATAGAACATTGAATTTAACTCTCAACATTGTTTCCATAGAAAAATAAGTTTGAACAATAAGTTTGAACAATCTATAATTTAGAGTTTTAAAAGTATATTTCTTTAGTCGATTCGTTAAATATTTCAAATTTCTTAATTTTTTGAATGACCTGAGTTTCATTTTTAATTTGATGCCACACAAGAAATGTTTAATAATGCTATGTGTATGAATATTTCCATAATTACATAACATTACAGTATGAATATATTGTTTTCATTTAAAAGTAATTTATCCTTGAAAAATCAGACAGTATTTCTTATTGAAAACCCGCACTACTTTAAAATGATAATACTATTGATTGACCACAATTGTAAATGAGTAGAGTTATGAATGGACCTTAGAAGCAGCCTGTATATGTGTGAACTAGGTTGCATAAAAATTAAATAAATTACTGATTTGTCTTTATTATGACGATGCATAATGCATGATGAATATAAAGTATAATGAATTTGAATAACTTTCCATTATTAATGCGTTTTTATCAATTTCAGTGCTAATTGTTGTAACAATTATCATATACGTAGTGTTAAATTTAATTTACCTGTATATTTCTTTCATTGCTGAACACACAATCTTCACTGGTAAAAATTTAGCAACCTTGTATCCAATGTCAAATGGTGTGTAGAATATTACATACCTATAAAAGATAGTAAAAGTTATATAAGTAGTCTACTAATAATGAATGGTAAATTGTGATCACCACGTAAAACAGAATCACAATCGGATGATTTCATGTTTTAATGATCTAAAATATGATTTAAGAAATTATAAAAATATATGTATAAATCACATGTGATATAAACTAACCAGACAACTGTTGCAACTATCACTTGTGCTGTATTTTTCAGAGGTGCAAGAATTGGTTCTCCTAGTAAACCATTGCATAACATTCCACCCGCAAAAACTACGAGCATTGTAGAAAGCCAGCATGACAAAGGATGTTTTCTTGAGAATGCCTGAGCTCCTGCCAATGTAATTAATAAAAATGCATTATGAAGGCCTTTAGCATAACTATAAAAAATAATATAGTGATATATAAAGTAAGTTATATAGGACACCATACATAATTATAACATAATTTCCCATGTAGTCAACACATCAAATGAAGATATGTTCAATTGTTTTTCATAAGTAATATAGATATATTTTTATCAACTCACAAAAGCTACAAATATAGAACAATGTAACGACGCATACACATTTGATATATATATGCATCAAATAACATAGCAATTCAACAGGATATACCATTTGAAGTGGGTCGAACAGAATCCTTAGAAATACATGGAAATTACATTAAGACTATAGATATACAGATAGTATTAATGTACATGAAATGCATGAATAGCAACTATATTTTTTTTATCCAACGAATCATATTATCATTTCCTAGGAAAATTCATTTGTAATTTTTAATGTAATGGTCTGCTCCAGACTGAACTGGAAATAATCAACAAGCAAGGTTACACTGTAGACACTTTAAATATCCTTCATCGTTGAGTGCATTGGAAAGTATATTATTTCAATTATCAAAGATTCTTAAAATTACATAATCTAAACTGCATGAATCATTTAAAATAAAACAAAATGTATTAGTACAATCTAGACCAAGTTAAAAAAATGATAATCCAGGTTGTCAATATTTCAAGAACAAAACAACTGATTATATCAAGATTTAAACTACTAATTTGTTTAACACTTTTTACTTCAAATTTTTCCGTCATTCACTCTGCCATATCATACAGGCTGAATAATTCCCGTCGCAACAGATAAATTGTATACGAAAATAGAACAGCTTAGTTGTCTAGGTTAACGCAAATAAATACACAGATATTAATTAGGTCAAGAATTTCCCTTAGTACAGAAGAATACACATATCACGAATCTCTAAATGTCGCTTAATTTTCGAGTTCTTTTTTAACTATTATTTAAAAAAACATATGTTAATGATAAATGAGTATTTTCTCATACATTGTAAATAATTTATGTTCATAAGAACGAGTATGGTATTTAGGATAAAATCATTCGTTTAAGAATGGGATGAGTAATTACAGAAATCATAAAAATAGCATAGCAATTATCAGAAAATGTTTCATCTCTAATTAGAGATCGATTTGAACGGATGAAAGATCAATAGATGATAAATTACTTAAATCGATGTAAAATCAAATCAAAAATATTCTTTTATTCATTTTAACTGATTAATATTTTTTTCTAAGAATTCGATCCGTTATTGTGATTAAATATTACGTTAATAAAAAATATCCCTTTTCAGAATTGTGAACCGTTCATGAAGCAATCATATAAATTACATACGTATCAATTTTGAACTATATTGAAAAAAATTTATTTGAATATTATATGACTTAATAAAAAAAGTGACTCAGTTGAAAAGCGGTCCTAACAGCGATATAACAAAAAATATTATTTCCATCACATTTATCACTGCTATCATATATTATTATCGTTTAAAATTTCAAAATTGATGTGCATTAAATAATATATAGAAATGCAAAAAAACGCAAGGAAAGTTTAAGATTTCGGGTAAATGTACTTTATAAAAGGTGCACATAAATAAAAGAACGAGACCTACAAATACATGCGATGCAAACGTGCGCGCTATCTCAAAGCAGCTCAGGGAAAGATTTAAATTTAGATTTGGCCCGGTGGGCTTAGACTTACCAGGTCCTAAATCTTCTCTGACGTGTAGTGCACAGAGTACACAGTGTGCGATGTCGAAGTACGGGAACATTTTCAGTTTTATAACCTGATTGGCCATGTCAAGGAATGCCTCGGGATCCATTTTCGATTTGGTTTAGGTTTTATCTTCTTTGGTTACAAATTTCCTGAGTTTCGGTTGTAAAATCAAATTCGAAAACACTCCCGGGCGCCCGCGAGCGACGCTGGCTCTTGCTAGCTATGCGCCGTATGCTGGTCGTCTGCTAGTGTTTCATGGACGAGTTTAAGCTCTCGTAATCTCGACAGCATCGTCGAGACTATTTCTGGAACTGGTATTGAGTGTGACATCTGTGCCATCACAAGAGAACTAATAAGAATTTTGCGATAGAGAAAAAGCATAGACATAAGTATGGACTCAGCGATTCCTAGTTTAACTATCTGTAAAATATGTCCGCTCTGGAGCAAGAGAGATACATGGAAAAGTATCACCACCGGAATACAGCATGGACTACGCGAGCCCTACTTAAAACTTTTTGAAAAAGTGACCGTTCAAATAAACAAAGAAGGAATGAGGTGGTCGTCAATCGCTCTCATTTTCTAATGCTCCTACTTTCTTTATATTATACAGGGTGTAAATGAAAGATACGACCAACAATTAACGGGATCTTCGGCATCGCTAGCCGAGCAAAATGTTTTTTTTTAAGCTTCATACGACCAAAATTAACCGAGATATCGAGGGTTAAAGTTTTCCTATCTCAAAAATATGAAATGCACTGAAGAGGGGATGGATTTACTGTGCATTGTCTTATACGCACACGTGACATCGACAAATGCCAAGCGACGGAGAAAGCAGAGATGAGTAGGGAGATTGCGAATGAGCCTGTTTTTGGTGGTCTCAATTTTTCTCTGGTTTCGGCGCGCCACCTTAGCGGAGGGCCCTCGAAGCAGTTCCACGTTTTTGATTGGTCGTGTATATATAGTAATACTACGCGTGATAATCTGGAGCTGTGTTTTGGCGCGTCGACGCGCTACCTGAACGAGACTCTCGAACTAGTTCCACGTTTTTGATTAGTCGAATGAATTCGTGTGTTCC